TGCTAGCGGGCCAGGGCGCGGGCGCGGGGTGCCGCCGGGCTCTGCCCGCCGAAGGGACATCGGTGCCCGGCTCCGGACCCCCTCCGTGCCTTGGTGCCCCGGTTTATTGCGTACTGCTGTAGCAGCACGCCGCTCTGCCGAGAAGGACGCCGAGAGATACACACACACACACACACGCGCGCGCGCTACCACCCGCTTCCCTCACAGAGCCAGAAGAGGGCTTATCTTTGGGCTCGAGAGTCTGTTTGTCTTCTGTGGATTGGGATTTACAAGCTTGGACGGTGCCTGGTTACAGTGGTGTATGAGTCTACAGACCCCGAGCTACAGAGTTAGAAAGAAACCTCGGATCTGTCGCGCTGTGGACGGGTAAAATAAACCCTATACAACCAGCAAACCCAGCCCAAGCCTTCCTGCCTCCCTGCAACCAACTTTACCCCCCCCAACCGCAAGAATTCCCTCCTTTCCTCCTCCCTCCACGCTCCTTCCTTCGGAGGCTGTAGGATGAGGCATTTCCTTCTATCTGGCTCAGGGTAAAAGCATACCCTGGGGGCAGCAACACACATCTGGCAGGGACTGAAAGGTTTTAATCCAGCCTCTACTGCAATCAACAATGGCAAATGAACCGGTGATTCTGAATGTTTATGACATGGTGAGTATGAAACAGTACTGATTTGGGAGGGGGGGCAGTGGGGCCGGGGGGGAGTTTGTGCTTGGAGGCAGGTATTGTATGAAGAGGAGCCAAGCACAGATCCCCAGAGAGGCTGATCCCCAGCGCCCCAAACTCCTCATCCAAGCATATCATGTTCTGGCTGTCAGAGATGATGCTGACCCCAGCTTTTTTCTTTGAAATATTTAGCATATTGGGCGAGATTACAGGTAAAACTGTGCCCGATTTTCTGCAGGATCTTTCAGGAGCAGCACTGGGTGAGGGGAGGACTTTTTAATTTCCACTGTCCCCGTTAAGGAAGGATATGTCATCACCTGTCTCTTTGCTGGAGATAATTGTCCTTTAATTTTGAGTGGCAAGCACTGCCAGGCTGTGGGGAAGGGGTCAGGATTTCATCCAGGGAGGAGAAACAACAGTAGAATTGCAGTAAGGACATAGTTTCTAGGCTAATAATCTGGATCAGTCCCCCATATGCATGATTGTAGTTAATAATTTTCTCTGAAGGTTAATTGCAACAAGAGGAGTAGGAAATTCTCTGAACTGGTGAAGTTTCAGCACAGGGAGGAGCACCGGGACATGCTGCTTGGCAATGTTTCCTGAAAGTTCACAGTGTAGCAAGCAGCTTTCCTTGCCCTTCTCTTGCAAGGGGGAATGTGAGTGGGAATTATCTGTGCTAACAAATCAGAAGATCCAAATCTTAGCTTTGGCACAAGCCCCCAAAGAGAATAAGTCTTGGCACAACCTGTTTGCTTTCTGGTCTGACAGGAGCTTAGGACAGGCATTGTCTACCTTTTTTAAAGTACCTCATTATGTTTAGATGAGGAACATTTTGATGATGATGTACTTCTCCTCCGTTTTTTGTTTATGAACTAATGATAATAAAAAAGTAGTTTTCAGATCTTCCAAAAGTTTAGTGAACTTTGCTGGGGAAAATACAACATTAGGAGGCCCAGATGTTTACTGAGCTCTAAATACCGAGCTCCAGACCTTTGAGATTATGGCATACATTTGCTTGTTGTCATCAGGCAGCGACAACTTTCAACAGGAAGCCCACAGAGTAGCGTGGGTTTCCCTGTTGGGGAAATCCAGAGAATCGACACCAAAGAGATTAGGAGTGAGTTGCTGTAAATGTCAAACTTCTTATTATTACGATTAAGTGATCTTTTGTTGACTAAAAAAGCTGGGTTGTTTTCTGAGGGAAGAAGGAGTGGTAAGGGCTATTTAGGTAGGACTGTATCTGTATTGAAGGACAGTCTGAAAAGCACAACTGCAATGACCTGAAGCTGCCTCTTCCAGAGCTATTATTGGTAAAATTGAGCAAGTTGGTGTAAAATCCTTCCCTAGACTTTGGTCTTGAGTGTTTAATGGTCAGTTGCTTGGCAGCCTGAACTGTGAACTCCCCCAGGCTGTTCTTCAACCAACAGGTCCGGTAACCCAAGCAGGTGGTAGCTAGTGCTGGGTAACAAGGGACTGGCATTGCAAATGCACACACAAGAGTTTCTCATTAACACTTTGAGGAAGATAAAGGGGCTGTGTTGCCCTTTTATTATATCCGCTGTCTTCCTTGCAATTTTTTTAGTTTGTTCTGCAGCAGGCTGTGGTCTGAACTTTCCTCTCTCAGCCACTGTTGAGGTGTCCCAAATCAGTGAATATTTTGCTACTGAGCTGAAGAGATCCATATACTGGATGGACATGGTCTTTGCCTTTTATCATGTGATTGACACCAAAGCTGAAGCCCAAAGGAATTATGGGAGAAGGGACTTGCTGTTCATAGTCACTGTGGTCTGAGATAGACACCCAGACACAGTGAACTCAATTGAGGTCATCAGTTTAATTCAGACGGAGTAATTTTTGCGGCTTAGCAAGCCATGAAAACCTTCATTCGTGAGTACTAACTCCATGGGTTAACCACTCTGTACATAGAAACCATTCTATTTTCATATAGCATCTGCTTGACTACCACTGAGTCACCTCTAGTTCAAGTCCTACATTATGATTATTGAGGCTACATGCTTTTCCATTGCTGCTATGATTTTAACACCACGGAGTTTGGAATGTAGCCACGCAAAATCTGCACTTTGTTACACTGTGGTGGGGAATTGCGGGGGAACTGGGAAATGAGCACATTTGCTTGAATGACTGTTGGAAAACTAGCCTCAATGAAAAAGAAAAAAAAAGACAGCTGGGGATAACAGTTAACTGGATGTAAAGCTCTGCTTTCCTGACAAGGAACATGACCCCTGTATGGCATCTGGAAGCACTTACACTGCGGGAAAACTTACCCCTAGGGCAGAAGTTCAATTATGGGCTTTGTGCAGCCATGAAATACCCACTCTGTGTAGTCTCGTATATTCAAAGATTATAGCTATTTATCCTTTTACCTATCGAATATGTACCAGGCTTCTTTAGGAAAAAAGTGCTTCTATTTAATGAGGTGTTTTGCACAAATAGCTGAAGCAGGTAGATCTATTTGTAGACTTATTTTCTTCAGCATAAAAGAATTGAGCAAAAATCACTGGGTATTCCAAGTGTTCAGAATATCATCATCAAAAGCAACTTCCCTCACCCCCAGCATGGGGGGTGATTATATCCTGTTTTATCTGTTGCTAAAGGGCTTGTACACACCTAGACACTCGCAAAACAGACAGAGCACGAGAACTTTGCTGCTCAACCAGGTCATTTTAAAAAGTGAATATGCAGGGTACTGAACTCTGATTTAAGGTGTGTGAACACAGAATAACAATGTGGATCAGGGGGTTTATCATGGGTGAATCTCTTTCCCAATCTGAATCCAGCTCTCACATGGACTTACTCTAAGCCAACAGCTTTTTGGAGACCTGCATGAAATAACCAGGTCTATAAGATCTATGACAGAGTTTGCTCTGATCAGTTAGTTATCACTTTGCCTTCAGATGGATAAATCAAGTTCCCCTTCATAACTTGCAGCTCTCTTCCCTCCACTCTGTCTTAATAAGCTGTTTATCATGGATCAGATCTTACTTAGATCACAGGGATGACTTTCTTCGGCCAGGATATCATCCTGTTTTCTCATCGCTTTAAGTCTTTGTGGCTTACTTTGGAATAGTTGACTTAATCACTGTACTTTAATAAATGTTGCCTACTTAAATCAGGCAGAAGAGTAACTGCTGTTATTGCCTGGGTTTAAATCTTTAACAAGCAAGCTAAACACACTCCACTAAAAATAGTTCTCTTGGCGGAGATTCAAATTGGGGGCTCTCATAATATTTTCAGCTTATTGCATAGCACATTCACGCTATCAAATTAAAAGCAAAGATATTCATATCACTGCTGTCCCTCTTTTATTACAGATAGGGTTGTCTTGAATTTCCACTGTCTTTGCAGCTGATAACATGCAAAACGGTCATTTTGATCTACTGGTATTTTTGCTTACTCTTTATGCTGGGGAAAATGAGCCCCTGAGATGTGCTGCAGAGGAGAATGAGAGCCCTGGTCAATGGGGAGCCAGGGAGAAATGATGTAGGGTTTGTTTGGACAAGAGGGGCAAGTCTCTTTCTCAGCCTTGTCCCACTGTTATTGCATTGATTCCACTGACATTACTTGTCATTCTCTCTGGAGCGAATGAGAGGGAAGTAAGATTCAGGTCCCTGTAGATGCACTAGCTCTGAGATTTTTCTCTGTGACTTCCAACTTCAGAGAGGTACCCAAAATGTAATTATTTATAATGGTATTCCCATATTCTTTCAATTCTTTATATAATTTGCCAGCTAAATGGCTGAAGGCCAATGGCTGATGGCAAAGGATGGCGCTGCAGGTGACTAACTGGGGTGTCTCTTGCTTCACTGATCAGTGGGTGATGGTGTCACAGATTTGATTTCTCCATCAGATTTTATTTCTCCATCACACCACTGAGTGGATCATCCAAGTGGCCCTGACAGAAAAACAAACACAACAGCATTCTTGTTTCCGTGGCAGTCATAAAGGTCCCTGTTTTGTGTTTGTGATATCATGGCAAGCAGCCTGTGTTAAAGTAAGGGTGGCATGTTGGGCTGAGGCTATAAAAGCTTATAGTCATGCATGTAGTTTCCAAGAGTTCCAGGAAAATGAATCTCGCTCCTGATTTTTACTGGTGTGGTGGAACAGAGCATCCTGGGAGGCTGCATCTGCACAGAGGGGAGCATTTCTGGGGAGGGAGAGAAGGAGGAAGATGGTGTTGCAAACCATAAAGGTTTGTAATGAGTTTATCTTCCTCCATGGGAGAGGAGAAGTAGTTTCTGTTGTACCACCAAGAGACATAGACCATGCTCTGTGTAGCAAATCAGCTTGTGGTCCTCCAGCAGAGGATGGTCAGAGGATTATCACAGCCTGTGACTGGCTTATGTGGGGAGAAGACCTCTGATGAGGTTGTTTCCATCCAACTCTACAAATGTCTGTCATTGTACAGTTGCTTCTGCATAGAGCTCAGGGGCTGAGGGCTGGCAGGAGGGTGCTGGGTCAAGAAGGAGAAGTTGCAAGAAGCAGTCTGGCTTTTCTGTCAATCCCATGAAGGAGGGAGGTAGGATTTTTGGACACGCAGTTGTGGTATGGGAACCTGTACATAGGAGGCTGCAGCAGACCCTGGGATAGGGCAAAAATTGGGTTTTGTTTATGTGCTCTGAGAAAAGGATTGTGAGAGAGTCCCTGTGTGAGGTGGACACACCAGCTGTCTGTGTGAAAAGGCATAAAACTAGAGGGTCTGTATGGCCACAGAATAAATGCATAAAACTTTAGTGCTTTAAGCCAACTTCTCTGCTACAAAATAGTATTATGGAGGTGGGAGTTACTTTTCCCTTTGCACTTTTCAGATCTGTCATTTTCAGCATTTTGCTTTAAAATCCATTGCTCACACGATTTGGAGATGATGACCTGTGTGTACCATTGAAAACCAGCACAGACTTACTATCTTAGCATCCCTTTTTGGCTTCCTGTGCAAGTGGAAAAGAGAGACTGAGACTCTTGGCCAC